AGTCATTGTGTTTTCTTGTGTCCTGGGATACTTGGGATTTCTAGCCATTGTTAGCTTCGCAGTCGCTTTTCAGGCCAGAAAGTTGCCAGATAGCTTCAATGAAGCCAAGTTCATAACTTTCAGCATGCTCGTATTTTGCAGCGTTTGGTTGTCCTTTGTTCCTTCTTACCTGAGCACAAAGGGGAAATACATGGTGGCTGTGGAGATCTTCTCCATCTTGGCCTCCAGTGCTGGGTTACTGGGTTGTATCTTTGCCCCCAAATGCTACATAATTATCCTGAGGCCTTCGTTGAACAGCAGAGAGCAGCTTATACGTAGAAATACCTAGGAATTAAATTGTTTTGCTTTTTATGTATTATTCCATTGAAATGACTATTCAAAAGTACCCCTGAAAACATGTTAAGTAACTTGGCCTTTTCAAGAAACACGCTTCTGTGACCCTCAATATTCTATATTTCTTTTCTTATTTAGTCTGATATTCCAAATCTGCCTACTCCCCTTAAATGGAAGAGTGGGGTATACATTTTTCTCTGAGGGTCATGTTCTCTCTTGTCCATAGGTATGAATGAAGAGTTTTGTGGCATATATTGCATGTTCAGATACAGTAAGGCTTCCTATCATTGCCTTCCAGTGTTTTTACTGAATACATAGGACTACATTATTGAATCAAAACAGGCCAAATCTTTATTGGTTACTTGTGTAAGTGGTTTTGACTCAGGCATTGGTTGATTATATCTACATAGCACGTCTGCTGACTGCTTCTCAGGGGGGTCACTTCTGGGACAGAATTGCCCTAGGAATTATATCAAATAGTAGCAGCCCACCAAAACCACTGTTTTGGGGCTTATGGACAAAACATTTTTCCATGGATCCTTTTAATGAAAAACCCCAATTCCTGGAAGGGGAAGGCATATACAATTCTTCCAATTAAATATCATGAATTCTACCTAATGCCTAACCATTGAAGTTGTGATGAAAGCTGTGAAGGAGTCAAAAACCACAAGACCGGTCAATTTTTCGGGAGATAAAATTCCTTCCCGGTCCCAAATACAGTGATTCCTTGGCAAGGTCAAGAAGCAAACAACAAAGCATCACACCAGGATACTACAAAATTTTTGGACAGGGATCATAGAATCATAGAGTTGGAATAGACCACAAGGGCCATCGAGTCCAACCCCCTGCCAAGCAGGAAACACCATCAGAGCACTCCTGACATATGGTTGTCAAGCCTCTGCTTAAAGACCTCCAAAGAAGGTCCACCACACTCCTTGGCAGCAAATTCCACTGTCAAACAGCTCTTACTGTCAGGAAGTTCTTCCTAATGTTTAGGTGGAATCTTCTTTCTTGTAGTTTGGATCCATTGCTCCGTGTCCGCTTCTCTGGAGCAGCAGAAAACAACCTTTCTCCCTCCTCTATATGACATCCTTTTATATATTTGAACATGGCTATCATATCACCCCTTAACCTCCTCTTCTCCAGGCTAAACATGCCCAGCTCCCTTAGCCGTTCCTCATAAGGCATCGTTTCCAGGCCTTTGACCATTTTGGTTGCCCTCCTCTGGACACGTTCCAGTTTGTCAGTGTCCTTCTTGAACTGTGGTGCCCAGAACTGGACACAGTACTCCAGGTGAGGTCTGACCAGAGCAGAATACAGTGGCACTATTACTTCCATTGATCTAGATGCTATACTCCTATTGATGCAGCCCAGAATTGCATTGGCTTTTTTAGCTGCCACGTCACACTGTTGACTCATGTCAAGTTTGTGGTCAACCAAGACTCCTAGATCCTTTTCACATGTACTGCTCTCAAGCCAGGTGTCACCCATCTTGTATGAATCCATAAGTTGTTTACAAACAATAAATAACAATAACAGACATAAAACATCATAAAACCCTCCAAAACCAGATTACAATATTTCCCTTAAATTTACTTTTTTTAAAAAATCCTTCCATTTCCCGCCAATGAGTGATGTCTTACAAATTGCAATACTTGTGGGAGATAACTTTGAACACTTTCATTATCACAAATTGCTAAAAGTCATCATTCATCTTGCCAATTCCCACATGGATTTTTGTGAAATCACAAGCACAATAATTAACACTCTGAAAGCTAATATTAAGTGTCTGTGAGTTTCCCTTTATCAAATTTTTTATAGCCTTTGAAAAGGTTTGTGGTGTAAAACAGATTGAACCTAGGCATTCTGCATAACAAAGTATCTCACAATGATTGTGGTATTTCTTTTGCCTCTTCTCATATTGTTACTGCATGTACCTCAAACTGAGTGTGAGCTACATGCTGTTATGTGTGCTGTGGTAGATCGTTTCCAGCTCCCATATCAATATTATGAGATAGGTGAGCTAATCATTGGAGCAATTGTTACTCAGTATGGCTGCATATTTGGAGAAATATCATTTAGTGAACACCCCACAACAAAATTTCTAGATGAACTGAAAGAATTTGCGTAAGGATGTTTTTTCCCTCTGCATGTGTTGTGTCAGATCATATATACTAAGGAAAAGGTAATGGAAGGGAATGCAGATGATACAATGGTGGTTGGTTTAATCACAGCTGGAGAGGGGGAGGCGGCCTATAGGAAGGAAATTGAGCAGTTGGGGGAGTGGTGCAGGAAAAACAACTTACTCCTTAACTTAAAGAAAACAAAAGAGATTATTGTGGCCTTTAGGAAATGTAAATTGAATATTCAGCCATTTATTATTGAGGGGAAGTGCGTGGAACAGGTCTTGGTGTTTCGATTTCTGGGAATGGAGTTGAGAGATGACCTAACCTGGGGAGAAAACAGCAAAGACCTGATGAAGAGAGCACAGCAGAGGTTATATTTTTGGAGAATCCTCTGGAAAAACAATCTCTCAAAGGACCTGTTGATGGCATTTTACCATTGTAATGTGGAGAGTGTATTAACTTATGGTCTGTGTGTGTGGTTTGGGAGCTGCACGGCCAGGGGAAAAAAATGCTGTCCAGGGTTGTAAAGAATGCAGAGAGAATAATTGGGTGCACTCTTCCCACCTTAGATCAAATCTATGCTGTCAGGTGCCATAAGAAAGCTACAGAGATAGCGCAGGATAGTACGCACCCTGGAAATGATCTCTTTCAGCTTCTGCCTTCTGGAAGAAGGTATAGGGTTATAAAGACCAGGACTAGCCACCTGAGAAACAGTTTCTACGCAAATGCAATTCTGGTTCTAAACGCAGCATAAGGAGTCTCTATATTATATTGTATTTTAAAATGGGGTTTCAGAGTTTTATGGGTTTTTGAATGCCTTACATAGATTTTCAATTTCATTGTTCTATATGGGACAATGACAATAAAGATATTGTATCGTATCATATTGTATCGTATTGTAGGTTGTAGACTAGGGATGGGGAGCGAATTTGTGGCCCTCCAGACTACAATTCCCATAGTCCCTGATGACTGACAAACTGTCTGAGGCTGATGGGAGTTTGAGCCCATCCACATCTAGAGAACCATAGGTTCCTTCTCCCTGTTGTAAACACATATATGTAGGTTCAAAGCAAATTCATAATTACCTTTGAGTAACTTGTACAAATTTAATTCTTAGGAAGGCATGAAGAATAGTATGATATAATGCTATAATCTGAGGAAACTGTAGAAAAGCCTAGTATGTTCTCATCAAAACAGCTTCCTACCATCGAAAACAATTTGGCCTTATACTTGCTGGCTATTCAGCTTAAATGTCACTGATCGAACTTTGGACTTATGAATGCTTTGATACTCAACTGTTAAGATCTAAACTTTGTAACAAAACATGCTTAAGCACTATTTCTTGTTCTAGGCTAATGTTTACTTTTGATATTTATGTCTTATTTGTTTATGAATCAAAGTGAACCAAGAATTCAAAAATTTCCCTACTCATAACTAACATTGAAGAAGTGGTAATCAGTTACAGGCAATGAGCCTAGGACTCCCTAGATGTATATAGTCTTTCTTCTATGTATTACACTTTATATTTGCTTGTTATTTTGGTTTGACTTGGTTTGGCATGTTGTTGTTTTTCGTTTCTCCTCATCATGCTGATTCTATATTCCACATGTCACTTTGTCACATCATAGAATCATAGTATTTTAGAGCTGGAAGGGACCACGTGGAACCCCTGCAATGTAGGAATCTTTTGCCCAACATGAGGCTCAAACCCATGACCCTGAGATAAAGAGTCTCATGCTCTACCTGACTGAGCTATCCTATTATTTCAGGTAATTTATCACTTACTTCTTTCTCCCTCCTCTCAGTCTTTCCATACTTTCCAATTCAGACGTATTATTATTTTTTGTATCTTCCCTTCAGTTCATTTCTTTCTATTTCTATTTTATTCCATAAAACACCCAAGATTTCTCCCCATTATTTTTCTCAACCAAAGAAACATACTGCATAATGCTCATATCCATTCAAGTATATGGGCCACATTTTAAATGACATTTATTTATTTATATTGATTGATTTAAAAATGTTCTTTAATAGTAATTTCAGCTGTATCTCTGATTTTGCTGTTCAAAGAGATCCATTGCTATTGGAGTGTGACTTCAGAGGTGGATTTAGGTTAGTACTACTGGATCCACCACACTGGGCACCAAGCTTGGGGGCATTGGAATGCATCACAACTAGAATAGAAGGGGCATTGGAATGCATCACAACTAGAAAAAGTTGGGTTCAATGTGACTTTCTTCAGCAGCACATTCACAGTTACCACAGTCTCTGAAACTCTGAAAGTAGATATTGAATACTCAGTGCTGGGATGCTGGGTGATGTAGAGGCAGGGTGACAGCTGTCAGACTGATCTGTCTGCGATTGCCTTCATCAGAAAGGGTCCAGAGCCACTGAACAGGCTGGACGTTTATTTTGGATTGATGCTGGGCATTCTGCATGAATATGTGGCTCAAGATGACGGGGTTGTTTCTTTTGCCTCTGCTTCTCTTGTTTCCGCGACTCCCTCAGACTGACTGCGAGTCACATGCTGTTATGCATACCATGGTTGATTCCCCCCACTTCCCACATCAATATTATCAGTCAGGGGACCTAACGATTGGATTTATGGTTACTCAGTATGGCTACTTATCTGATGAACTATCATTCAGGGTACATCCCACAAACGCGTTTCTGGAAGAACTAAAACTTATGTAAGGAGTATGTTTTCTCTGCGTACTTCAGGCCAGGTCATAACTATTACTCCTTGAAAAATGTGGTTTAAAAATGTCCTTAATGAATTCTGGGTATGCTATACACATATATCAAGAAGTAAGGCTATATATCTGCTTTAATTAACTCTTTCTTCAGTTCAAGGACAAAGAACTACCAGCGTATCTTGTCCTTGGCATTTGCTGTCAAGGAGATAAATGAGAACCCTGAACTTCTACCAAATGTCAGCATTGGCTTCCACATTTATGACAGTTATACAAATGCAAGGATGACTCATCAGAACACCCTGAAACTTCTTTCCAGTCATAAAACTGTAGTCCCCAACTTCAAATGCAATAAGCAGAAGAATCTGATGGCCGTCATTGGAGGACTCGACTCTGAAATCTCCCTTTACATGGCTACTCTTTTAGGCATCTACAAGATTCCACAGGTAAAATATTTGGATTGGCTATGCAGCTTTCCCACATGGAAACCCAGCCAGATGGGCGGGATATAAATAATACCTATTATTATTATTATTATTTATTATTATTATTGGATAATATTTACCTTTCTACTATTGGCCTTTTCAGTTTCTCTTTTGTTCTTTTTGGAAAGAAAGTGTCAGTCTGCAAACAATGAATGTGTAGTTAACACAACTGTGTAATTGGCCCCCTATTCATGCAGGAGGAAAAGTGAACAATTAATCCCATTCTTTATGGGAAGGCACAAGTGGTAACCCTCCCTCCCTCCCCAAAACAACTACAAATGGAATTGCCACCACTCAAGGGTATGTTTTGCAGCTGGGCCAGAGCATCTCCCATTGGCAATTGTGACACCTCATTCCAGTGTCTCTGGCATAGAATGCGTAGTCAAAGATAGAATAAGAAACCTAGCAACTGACTAAATGATCAAATAAATGAAGTGTTCCTTGTTCATTTAAATAAAATATACAATAAAATACTAGCAACCAAAGAAATGGGAGCCTCATAATAAAGGGTTCTGGTTGCGTGTGGGACCCAAGAGCTCACCTGAGAGGGTTAAAATAGGGAGGGAGTAAGAGGTCCTGGCCATGCCCCTGGGATCACACCAGGTGATTTTAGCTGACAGCCAGTGAGTGGCGTGATCCCAGGGGCTTTAAAAACGGCAGTGTGATGCAAGGAGGGGCATTTGCTTCGCACTGTTGAACACCCGCCCACCCTCCCTAGTTTAGGTACAGTTGCTTGGCCTTACTTTGGTTTGGGTCACCTGTTTTGGAACAGGGGCTGGGTAGGAATTTTTCCATTTGGCAGATTGTCATTAGCCATTTGGTTTTCTCCTACCCCTTGGCAAATCGTCACAACTTGTAAGGTGGCGGTTAGGCATTGGCTCAGTTGGATTGTGGGGAGGGGAGGTGCGGCCATCACCTGCCCCTCCAGAAACTGTGTATTCCATTAAAGGAATCTGGGCATCCTGGATCTCGTCCGAAGTCCGATTGAGGGGCTAGGGCCATGCCCGGATCACAGACACCTCAGGGTGAGTTTAGCTTGGTCCTCATCGACCTAGCTCCCTCGTTTGGTTTACCCCATTGGACGATCACCCTGAGAGGTGGAATCAGTTATAGTGGGGAGTCAATGCCTAAGCCAATACCGCTCACATGATTGTATTTCAATAAAGTTGTGGCCAAAACTTTGCCCAAAAACGTAAACTAATATAAGTGTTCGTGTGTATTTATTTTGGGTATGGGTCTTGGGGCCTCGAGACGCAAATGGTACAAGCAGTAAATTACAACTTGGTAATAGCTGGGATACCTGGGATAGGAGGCTTGTTGGTTTTTGAATGTCTGATGTAGATTTTTTCAATTTCATTGTTCTGTATGGGACAATGACAATAAAGCTTATCGTATTGTATCAAATGATGGTCAGTGGCAAGTCCCTGCTATATAGTTTGAAGACATTTGTTTTCTCCATTATGACTTTTCAGGAGTATCTTATGTCACCCCCCACTCACCCAATGAACTCTTGAAAAAAAGACTTTCCTGACATTTTACTGAAATTTGCATGTCTTTTTACTTAGATTGCCTATTGTGTAATTGCTCCAGTGACTGATGTTAAAACCCATCTCCCTTCATTCTACCGGATGGTGCCCAATGAACAATATCAGTATGAAGGGATAGCTCAGCTTCTTCTGCATTTTCAAATGGACATGGGTTGGGATCCTCACAATGGACGATGATAATGGAGACAAGTTTTTCCAGACCTTGATTCCAATGCTTTTGAAAATGGAATCTGTATAGCCCTCAAGGGAAAATTCCAGCCACCTCTCAAGCAGCAGATACACATACTTCCTTTGATTCCATCTTAGACGAAGCTATTTATCTATCGAATGCCAGTGTTCAAGTGTTGGTTGTAAATGCAGAAACTATTACTATCTCTTTTTTGTTAATTAAAATATATGCATATGCAGCACAGGAGTCTATTCTACCATTAGCTATGGGGAAAGTGTGGATCATGACAGCCCAATGGGATTTCTCAGCAGACACAATACAGATGGAGATGGATATGGATATGCAAGTCTTTGATGGTGCCTTCACTTTTGCAATACACTTAAATGAAGTGAGGGGGTTCAGAAAATTCCTGCAAACTGTTCGTCCTAAATCAAAAAATGAAGATGGGTTTATTTTGCTCTTCTGGGAAAAGGCATTCAGATGCTTGTATTCTGATTCTATGGATGGCATGGAAAATAATAATAATGCCTGTAGTGGTGAAGAGAATTTGGAGAGCCTCCCTGGGACACTCTTTGAGATGAGTATGACTGGCCAAAGCTACACCATCTACAATGCAGTTCATGCCATAGGACATAGTTTACATAAGATGTACTCAGCCAGGCGGAAACACAGAGCCATGCCAAACATAGGTGGAGTGAGTCCAGTAAAAGTACAACCTTGGCAGGTAGTGTTTCTCATCCAAAGTTAATTTCTTTGAAAGCTGTATGCACATATCTGCTAACAATGTCCTGTGTTCCTTGAATACTTTGCCCACTCACGTGACTTCTTTTCTCCTTGTAATTTTTTATTAATAATACAAAAGGTGGATAGAATTCCAGAGTTAAAAGAAAACAGGAAAAAACTGCTGGTTTATTTATTTGGAACAAACAAACTTTTCTACCCTATTATAGAGACACGTAATTATTATGTTATATAATTCATATTAGGGCAATATATTCATTAGGCCAACTAAAATGTTGCAAAACATGATCGCCTAATAAAGTATTAGCCTACTATGGATTTGGAGCATTGGTTTTTCTTTTTATAATAGTCCCACACAAGTATCTTTCTTTTTTGCTTGTTATTTTTTTGACTTTACATATAATGATTTGGTGTTGTTAAGTATAATATTTTACTGCTTAAATATGCTGGATGTGATTAATTTTATAAGTGCCACTTATATGCAGAAAATGTAAAATTTTGCAAAAAGAAACAGTTATTTCACTATGTCCTCTCCATTTACATCAGAAGACAAGGAAGGCATATATACTTCCCTAAACCCCGAGGTTCACAGAAAAGATCAACATAAAAGCCACAATATATTTAATCAAAATAAAAATAGCACCCCAATAACACCTCCCCATTGGTCCCATTGGTCCCATTGGTGCACTGGTGGGAATTGTTATTTTGGAAGATGTTCAGTAGGGCTTGTTCTGGGGTAACTTCTAGTACCTGTTTAGTCATTTTGCTTACCGTATTTTTCGCTCCATAAGACACACTTTTTCCCTCCTAAAAAGTAAGGGGAAATATCTGTGTGTCTTATGGAGCGAATGTGTGGTCTATCCCTGGCTCCCTTTCTGGCCCCGCCCCCTTGCCCAGGCCTCCATTATTGAGTGTTCTGCAGACAGAGGCTGTTTGTTTCCCCAGCGACATGTGATTGGCTGATTAGATTATATGTCTGGAAACTGTAGAAATAACTCCTTTTCCTTTCCTAAAGAAGCTGCAAAACCGTGAGTTTAACCCTATAAAAACAGGATTTTTTCCCCTTTGCAAAGTCAGCTCAACAACTTTGAGCTGATCCTCAAAAAACTGGGGCTTTTCCCCTTTCCTCCTCTAAAAACTAGGTGCGTGTTATGTTCAGGTGCATCTTATGGAGCGAAAAATACAGTATTTCTTGTATGACTGTTGTCCAGAAGAGTTGGGATTGGGGGCATTCCCACCACATGTGGAGGTGTATGCCTGTGGAAGTTTAGCCTCTTCAGCATTTTTGTGAGGTTCCTGGGTGTATCAGGGCCAGTTTCTGTGGTGTTCAGTACCATCTGTAAGTGAGTTTCATAGTGAGTTCTTTTTTTTCACTGATAAGGGAGGTTTAGACCACATTATAGTCTACTGACTGGCATTAATTTCATAGCCTATGCCATCTTCCCATTGTTTTTTATTGTATTGTAATCATATAAATTCTTTAATGAGATTAATTAAATAAATAGGGGCTTGTGTATATAACAGGTCTCCTACATGGGCACCGCCATTACACTTCTTCAAAGGGTTTTGAAAATATTGATAATAAATGAAATTAAAATTAAAAATTAAAATAAAATATGGGGGGGTTGTACCTGTCTGAACATCTCCGCTGGCAGGGGAGGGCCTGTGCCGCATTTGTCTTTCCCTAGGGTGGTCCCCAGAATGTGGTTCCTCACTGGGCCCCAGTCCAGTTACCAAGGATATTGGCTTGGTGTCAGGCCTGGGCTAGGCTGCACATTTCCTCACAGCCTCCCTGACTTTCACGGTCCCCTCCTGCCATTCTCACTTGGCAGTGGTGGTGTTGGTGATGGCAGCAGCAGTAAGTTGGAGGCCTCCAGTCCAGGAATTTCATTGGGGCTCTCTTGGTCCTGGTGGGATCAAGATTGTCGGGGTGTGGGTGTGTGAGGCTCTGCGCTGCCTCTTCACTTGTCATTTTGGGCTCCCTGGGCTCCCTTTTCATTGCTGTGATGGTGAAGGTGGTGTGGGGACCAGACAAGCAGCTTGGTTGGTTCTGGTGGTCCCTAGGAGTTCAGTGCGGCTATGGCACTCACTATCTTGCCTTGCCAGAAGTCCCTCTTTTTAAAATTTTTGACTTGCACTTTTTTTCATTCCAGCTTCACTCGTTCTTGCGAAGTATCTCCTTTAACAACAGTGCTGGTGACAGAGTGTCATTTGATGAGAATGGTGAATTAGTATCTGGATTTGATATTGTAAACTGGGTACTTTTCCCAAACAAATCGTTTTTACGAGTGAAAGTAGGAGGGATGGATCCACAGGCTTTACCGGATCAGAAATTCACAGTGAATGAAAAGGCTATCACATGGCACAGAATATTTAACCAGGTGGGATCCAAATATAGAAATAAGATAAAATTTAAATTAGTAAGAGGCACAATAAAGAACCATGCCAGGTGATTCCATTCAGTAGGAGAGTCAATCTATCTGTCTACTTATTCATATGTATACAGAAAATGTAAGAGCAAGTGCTAAATGGGAAGAGTTCCAACAATGAGCCTTGATAATTCTTCTTACACTGATATATTATTATTCTCAGTAACATATATGGGGGACTAAATCATATAGCAGAGTGGCTGACTAAATGATTATTTTCTCTCTTATTAATTCAGTTATATATTGCCCATATATATTAACACCTCATTATTTAAAAAGTATAAAGGCCAATCCAAATTTTAAAACATTGTAATAAATAAATGTAAGTCAGTGCAAGAGAAGGTAAATGTAAAACTGCTGCCCTACTGTATTATCTTGACAAAATGATAAAAATGAACAAGGCATCAACTTCCAAGGGTCATTTTCCTAGTGAGCAGATTTTTTTTGTATAATAAAGTCCTGGTGCGATATCCTGGCCATTCTTAGTTCTATGTTAGGAGTTTTCTTAGACACAACCAAACATAATTAGGAACAGAATTTGATATCAAAAATGTAAGCTGGTTTTTTCCAGTGTCCTGTATCCTTGCTCTGTTCTTTTCACTGGTCCTGCATTACCATGGGACCCAATGTTCTCAACAGCAGCATTTTGTGTGTGTGTGTGTGTGTGTGTGTGTGTTTGTAAAGGTACATCAATTTATTTCTCTTCATTTTTAATGGATAGGTGGTGCCACTTGCCAGATGTAATGACCACTGTCATCCAGGCTACAGCAGAAAAAAGAAGGAGGGGGAGCCATTTTGTTGTTATGATTGCACTCCATGTCCGGATGGAAAGATTTCAGACCAGAATGGTAGAAGACATAGTGACCTAAATGATGGATTGCACATTGAATCTCCTTTTTCTGCTGTCAATCTAGTTCCCTAAAACAGAACGGGGATGACAATTGTCTAGTTCTGACATAGATCCGTAACATTTTCTATCAAGTCCAGATAATGTGTTTGGTATACTGCCAAATTTCATCACCATTGCCATGCTTTTCTCTTATTTCAAGTCGAATGATGCATGTGTTTTTGATGTACATTTTGATACAGAACATTCATATCATGGGTGTAGTTGAAATCTCTGGAAGACAGAGATTTGTGCTTCAACCATAGTGTATTCACACCAGCAGTGTAGTTATACATTGATTTCTCAATGTATACACCTCCCACATGTATGGTTGCAGAGTCTTGTTATTCTTTTACCTAAGAAATATCAAAATATTTTTATATAAATGAAAATACAACAAGAAATGTCTACTCTGATAGAGAGAGAGAGAGAGAGAGAGAGAGAGAGATGAATGCTGAAATGATCTAGCTTGCTTAATCCCAGCTAGATATTCTGAGACCAAAAGAGCAATGGTACCAATGTAGAGGAAGAAACTTTCAGAAAGTATTCCCATTTACTCTTATTTAATCAGACAGTTCTATGCTGAATTTGATTAATAAGTGATTGATACAAACTTTGTCCCATTTTCAGATATGGACAACTGTTTCCAATGCCCAGAAGGTCAATTCTCAAACAAGAACAAAGATAACTGCCTTCCTAAGACCCTTAACTTTCTCTCTTTCACGGAGCTCTTGGGGACTACTTTAGCCTTCTTTATTTTGTTTTCTTCTCTAATCACAGCTGCAGTGCTGGGGATTTTCATTAAGAACAAGGACACCCCAATCGTCAAAGCCAACAATCGGGAGATCACCTACTCTCTTCTCATCTCTCTACTGCTTTGCTTCCTGTGCTCCTTGCTATTCATTGGCCGACCTAACATAGTGACCTGCTATTTAAGACAAACAGCGTTTGGCATCATATTCTCAGTGGCTGTCTCCTGCATTTTAGCAAAAACCATTACTGTGGTTTTGGCTTTCATGGCCACCAAGCCAGGATCCAGGATGAGAAAATGGGTGGGGAAAAGATTGGCCAGTTCTGTTCTTCTTGGCTGCTCCACTATTCAAGCCATTATATGTGCTGTTTGGTTATGTACTGCTCCTCCATTTCCACATTTTGATATGCATTCTCTGACTGAAGAAATCATACTGGAATGCAATGAAGGGTCTGTGACTCTGTTTTATTGTGTTCTGGGGTACTTAGGATTTCTGGCCACTGTCAGCTTCATTGTGGCTTTTCAGGCCAGGAAGTTGCCAGATAGTTTCAATGAAGCCAAGTTCATCACTTTCAGCATGTTGGTCTTTTGCAGTGTTTGGTTGTCTTTTGTGCCTTCTTATTTAAGCACAAAAGGAAAATACATGGTAGCTGTGGAGATCTTCTCCATTTTGTCCTCTAGTGCTGGGTTACTAGGTTGCATCTTTGCCCCGAAATGCTATATAATTATCTTGAGGCCTTCCTTGAACACAAAGGACCAGCTAATAAGGAGGAATATCTAGGAAATTAATTGTTTGGAGATTTATGCATACAAAGATATTAAATTGAGCCATTTTTTCAAACCAAATATATGTACTAACTTTTTCAACTTTTCAAGTCTTCTCTATTGAGTGCTTTTGTAAAAAATATCAGGATAAAAATGTAACAGATTTACACATCTTGGTGTGTACAAACTGTGAATTACACTTTAAAATAGTGGTTAATTGCCATTGGTTATGAATCTTACTCAATTCATTAGCCATTGTCTGTTTCAAATGATTGTCTGTAATTTGTGCAAAATGCTAAGTCGGCATTTTTGAGGGAGTTCTCCTCTAGGCTATACAGCAGGATGTGTAAAAGTGATGAAGCATTAAAAGGCCAATAAGAGCAATATCAATTATTTATGATCATGAGAAGTTTACTGGCCAATATGTTAAAATAATACAGCAATGAGCCATTTCCTCCAATTTGAAAAAATCCAGTACTAGCTATATTGAAGTGCTAGTTTCATAAACATAAAGTAAGAACTGTTGTTGGGGGCATGAACAGTGATGCTAAATTGTATTTGTGTTTAGAAGAAATATGGGGGAAAGTTGATTTACAGGCATGCTTACTTTTTGTGTTTCTTCATGTATGATAATACTGTATTTCCAAGGAGAAATTCAAATTTTCACATAGTTATTATCATAAATAACAAATTCCCCAGATCTACCATGAACTTTCTGTTATAATCTGAAGTTGCAATAAAAATTCTGAATTAAATTATCGCTATTGTTATCATCACCACCATCATCATCATCATTTTTCACACACAATTCTATCTTTCCACCTGTGATTTAATTTTATTGCCACCATATCGTTCCTTTCTCCATTCAATGAAAGGGTATGATATATTTTTATCTGAGGGTCAGGTTCCCTTTAGTATAAACTCCTTGATGTAGATTTTCAGATGCACATACTGCTTTAGTGGAAGAAACACAAGTTTTCATCCTCTGGTTAGAGTAAAGGTCTATCCAAGGCTTTGTTTATTTAGGCATGGCAATTGCATTGCAGAAGACCCACACCCCATCAACCAGAATCTCTTTTAAGCTTATCAATGGGATGTTCTGCCTACATACGGAGCTAACAGCTTCTTAAAGGGATGGTAGCTTTTTCACAACCAGCTTAATAAGAAACCACAATAAGCTAACTTCAGAGGGAAAACACAAGAAAAACAGCATTGCTGAAATCAAAACTGCCAACATTCTGTACTTCCTTTGTTCTTTTACCTTCTCTGACACCTTCATGCTAACTTTCTTTTTACATCTAAGAGAAACATGTCCTTAAGATATAATTCACAATTACCTTTGCGTAACTTGTACAAGGGACGCGGGTGGTGCTAGGGCTTGCCTAGGGCTTGCCTAGGGCTTGCCGATCGCATGGTGGGCGGTTCGAATCCTTGCAGCGGGGTGAGCTCCAGTCTTTCAGTCCCAGCTCCTGCCCACCTAGCAGTTTGAAAGCACCCTTAAGTGCAAGTAGATAAATAGGTACCGCTTTATAGCAGGGAAGGTAAACGGCGTTTCCGTGTGCTGCGCTGGTGCAGACTCGCCGGAGCAGCTTCGTCACGCTAGCCACTTGACCCGGAAGTGTCTCCGGACAGCGCTGGCCCCCGGCCACTTAAGTGAGATGGGCGTACAACCCTAGAGTCGGATACGACTGGCCCGTACGGGCAGGGGTACCTTTACCTTTACCTAACTTGTACAAATTTAATTCTTAGGAAACCATGAAAAACAGTATGATATAATGCTATAATCTGAGGAAACTGTATAAAAGCCTAGTATGTTCCAATCAAACATCTTCCTACCATTGAAAACAATTTGCCTTATACTCGCTGGCTATTCAGCTTAAATGTCACTGATCAAACTTTGGACTTATGAATGCTTTGCTACTCAACTGTTAAGATCTAAACCTTGTAACAAAACATGCTTAAGCACTATTTCTAGTCTTAGGCTAATATTTACTTTTGATATTTTTGTCTTATTTATTTATCAATCAAAGTGAAAGAAGAATTCAAAGATTTCCCTACTCATAACTAACATTGAAGAAGTGGTAATCAGTTACAGGCAATGAGCCTAGGACTCCCTAGATGTATATAGTCTTTCTTCTATGTATTACACTTTATATTTGCTTATTAGTTTGGTTTGACTTGGTTTGGCATGTTGTTGTTTTTCGTTTCTCCTCATCATGCTGATTCTATATTCCACATGTCGCTTTGTCACATCATAGAATCATAGTATTTTAGAGCTGGAAGGGACCATGTGGAACCCCTGCAATGTAGGAATCTTTTGCCCAACATGAGGCTCAAACCCATGACCCTGAGATAAAGAGTCTCATGTTCTACCTGACTGAGCTATCCTATTATTTCAGTAATTTATCACTTACTTTTTTCTCCCTCCTCTCAGTCTTTCCATACTTTCTAATCCAGCTGTATTATTATTTTTTCTATCTTCTCTTCGAGTTCATTTCTTTCTATATCTTTCTATGCTGCATAATGCTCATATCCATTCAATTATATGGGCCACATTTTAAATGAGATTTATTTCTTTATATTGATTGATTTAAAAATGTTCTTTAATAGTAATTTCAGCTGTATCTATGATTTTGCTGTTCAAAGAGATCCATTGCTATTGGAGTGTGACTTCAGAGGTGGATTTAGGTTAGTACTACTGGATCCACCACACCGGGCTCCAAGCTTAGGGGGCATTGGAATGCATCACAACTAGGAATAGTGTATTGGTGACTGGCTGATAGATTTTACAGAAATTTGGGTTCAATGTGGCTTTCTTGAGCAGCACATTCACAGTTACCACAGTCTGTCCCACTGTCAGACATCTCTTACCATCAGAAAGTTCTTCGTAATGCTTAGTTGCAATCTCCTTTCTTTTAACTTGAAGCCATTGATTTTTGTCCTACCCTCCAGAGTAGGAGAAAACAAGCTTGTTCCATCTTCTGTGTGACAGCTCTTTAGATATTGAAGGATGGCTATCATATCTCCTCTCAGTCTCCTCTTATCCAGAGCTTTCATCCATCCTGCATTTTTCAGCAATTGGTTTGGAGAAGCCTTACTGCCTCCAACCTTGGAGGCTATGTATAGACATGACGAGTGGCCATTTTGATCACCTAATTCTCCATGAAGTTGTTTAATCCACTTTTATAGCCATTCAAGTTACTGGCTATCACTGCCTTCTGTTGCTTGAAACCATGCAGGGTGTGGGCTGGGCTGGGGCCTGCTCTTGTGCTTGAGTCCCACTTGTGAGTTTCCTTCAGGCATCTGGTAGGCCACTGTGGGAACAGGATGCTGGACTAGAAGGGCCATTGGCCTGACCCAGCAGGCTAATTTTATATTATCTTATGAATATGGGCAGTTCTCTGAATTAACTGTTGTGTAAAGAAGTCAAGGACACTTCAAGGAATAAGAAGAATGGTCCTCTTGTGGATTACAAATTGCTTAAGTTACAGCAAGCAAATAGTAGGAATAAATTGAGAGTTCACCAAATAGACAGAAGTAAAAAAATGGTGTCCCCCAAGGATGAGTATTGGGATCTGTGCTTTTTAACATAAATTATCTAACTCTAGATTAACGATCTAGAACTTTGGAACATACAACCTTAGGAGGCAGCAATGAACACAAACTTGGATGCCTTTAAAAGAGAATTGGACAATTTCTGGAGGATAAGACTATCAATGGCTGCTAATCAAAATGGCTATGCTCTGCATTCATGGCCAGAGTGAGTAATGATTCTAAATATCAATTGCTGGAAGCTACAGAGAGGGAGAGTGGACTTCCAATTGAATCCTACTTGCTAGATTCTTCCAGGCATGTGGTTGGCTATTGTCAGAACAGGATGCTGGATTACATGTGCCATTGATTACATGTGCCTGCTATCCAGCAGGCTGTTCTTATGTTCTTTGCTCTTTAGCTAATAATTCATCCACTCAAATGACCTCAAAGTTGGGTTATGCTAGCATAAAATTGCCCGAACAGTCCTTGAAATAGAGCGGAATATTGCCCTAGAATGCAGAGTAATCCAGAAACTCCAGTAAAACATAAGTTATGGTCAGTATCCTAAAACTATCCAGCTGTCATAACAATCAGAGAGGCTTATCTATTAATTTAGATTAAAAATAAGAATACTTTATTCTATTGTTCAGCCACAAGTAATGTTTTGCACAATGCAATACACTGAGGAGACATCTTTGAAAACTTTGATTATCACAAATTATTAGTTGTCCTCATGCATATTGCCAAATCCCATGTGGATTTTCTCTGATCACAATCACAATAATTAACAAACTCTGAAAGTAGATATTGAATACTCAGTGCTGGGGTGTTGGGTGGCGTAGAGGCAGGGTGACAGCTGTCAGACTGATCTGTGTGAGATTGCCTTCATCAGAAAGGGTCCAGAGCCACTGAACAGACTGGACGTTTATTTTGGATTGATGCTGGGCATTCTGCATGAATATGTGGCTCAAGATGACGGGGTTGTTTCTTTCGCCTCTGCTTCTCTTGTTTCCGCGACTCCCTCAGACTGACTGTGAGTCACATGCTGTTAGGCATACCATGGTTGATTCCCCCCACTTCCCACATCAATATTATCAGTCAGGGGACCTAACGATTGGATTTATTGTTACTCAGTATCTCTTCTTATCTGATGAACTATCATTCAGGGTACATCCCACAAACGTGTTTCTGGAAGAACTAAAACTTATGTAAGGAGTATGTTTTCTCTGCGTACCTCAGGCCAGGTCATAACTATTACTCCTTGAAAAAAGTGGTTTAAAAATGTCCTTAATGAATTCTGGGTATGTTATACACATATATCAAGAAGTAAGGCTTCGCACATGCTTGATCTACTCAACAAACCCCTGGCTATCTTCTCCATGTTAATACACAGGGTTTCCCCTTCTCATTTCCTCTTCCAGTTGCATTTCTGAAGCCACTCCTATCTTCTGTAATGTAGCCCTACTTTGCACTGATTTTCAC